TCCCCGCACCAATCCGCTAAGCGGATGGGGGGGCGAAGCCCCCCCAAATGCCGGCGCGTAGCGCCGGTACGCGGCGCGAAGCGCCGTGCATAAATTGGCCGGAGGCCAATTTTTTTTCATCGTGCGGCAAAACTTTGCAACAGCCCTTCGCAGGAGGAGGTAAAAATCGGCAAAAATGTTGTCTTCTCATTATTGTTGCCACTTTTTGAACTAATTTGGATGGTTTCACCATAGGTATGACTTGAGTTACAAACACAGAGCAAAAGAGAAAAGTGCCATAATAAGCGGGAGGAGTCGTTCCTGCCGCAAAGGATCATGAAGGAAAAGGTGGAGGTCGTGATCTCCGGCACAGCCGGGGTGTTTCCAGAGTGCAAAAACATCCCCCAGCTCGAAGAGGCACTGTTCAACAACGTACATCTCGTCACAGATGATGACCGAAAATGGAAACAGGGTAAGATGATCATTTTCATTTCATTTTGCTATAAGGAATTACAATTTCTGGCTTATCCATAAGAACACTTATGTCCATACTGCCGTGCTAGGGGAAAACGCCATATGAACCTTCAGGCGTTGCTAAATTTCCTTCGGTAAATCACCAATTTTCGAGAAAATTTGTAAAGATTTTTCCGATGATTTTGTTATCAATTTCACCTGAAGTTCCTGAAAATTTCAAGGAGAAATACTTATAACTTCTTTCAAAAATAACTATTTTCTGAGAGGAAATTTGGCAACTCTCGAATGTTCATACGGCAATTTTCCTTACTACGACATAAGTTGTTTTAAAATCGAGTCAGAATTTTTAGTTCCTAATTAAAAAAAGTAATCCATTTTACAGTCCTTCAACTAGTTTTAGCCAAGAGACAAACGATCCATCGGTAACATCTAAAGGCAACTACTCTTGCTCTATAGACACACGGATTGCGTCAGAAAAGATGAAGGCGCACTAGTCCTTGCACGCCCTCAGCCTAAAAAGCATACCCGTCTTCAGAAAAGGAATCAATATTATAACTATCAGCTCTCCAAATCCCAAAATTTGTTTCTACTTTTTTACTAACCCACCCCCCCCATATATATTTTTTTTACCGTTTAGTTGGGTCACTTATCATTTTTTTGCGAATATCGATTGGAGATAGTCCATAAATGAGCCCGCTCTATTTAAATTAGCCCATGATAGCCCGCAAAGTGGTCCTTAGAGGGCATGAAGCGCCCTTTTGGGTTTGCGCCGCGCAAAGGCCAGGGAGCGTGCCCCCTGGTTTTAGCATATCATATAGGCTATAGAGCAGCTTTGCCATTGAAGAACAAACTGGGAGGCTTGTTTACGATGAAAGCTTCCCGATTGACGTTTGATTTTCTTTTTGTATTTTAGGTTACAGCTTTCCCACACATTGCGGGAAAGCTTTCTCCCACGATCATTTTGATGCAATTTTCTTCAAGGTTCCATTCAATCTTCCATATACCATGGATGCCATTGCAAAACAAAGCTTAGAAACGAGCGTTGAGGCAATTATTGATGCTGGTGAGTACTAAATGGACGTAGTTCTACCAAAGAGACCTATGTGGAAGTGAGAAATACGGGGTGTGCTCGTTAGTCTCTTTGCATGGCGAGTGAATGAGAATAATTGTGCGCCAGTGACGTCAGCGGAGGAGGACGCCGCGT